CGCTACGAGGTGCTGCGCGGCGCTGCGGGCGCAGCGCGGTGCAGCGGGGGCTATGCGGCGCTACGGGCGCTGCGCGGTGCTAGCGGCACTGCGGGCGCCGCGCGGCTGCGAGGTGCTATGCGGCGCCACGGGCTCCACGGGCACTACGGGCGCGGGCGCCGCGGACGCTGCGGGCGCTACGGGCGTGACGCGGCGCCATGGGCGCTACGGGCGCTACGCGGCACCACGGGCGTTGCGCGGGCTACAGGCGTTGTGGGCGCCGAGCGCCACGCGACGCCACGGAGTCTACGCGGCACGACGTGGCGCTACACGGCGCTTGGGCGTTGTGGGCGCTAAGGTCGCACTCGGCGCTATGCGGCGCCATGGGCGCCACGCGCGGCGCTACAGGCTCTGCGGGCGCCGCGTGGTACGCGGCGCTTGCAGAGGGCGCAGTGGCGCGCACATGAGCGCATGCGGGAGCGCAGAGGTGCACAGAAATGCGCAAACGCGCACGGCAGAGGCGCGCGCGGGCGTGCGGAGGCGCGCACGAGCGTGCCGAGCGTGCAGATGGGCGCAAGGAAACGCGTAGAGACACGCAGAAGTGGGCCCATGAGCGCAGAGAGCGCAAACGCGCGCAGATTGCGCAGTGCAGGCAGTCCCCGGCGGGCGCACAAGCTTGCGAAAGTGCACTTGGTAGCGCCGGCGGTAGCGACACGCAGAAGCGTGTGGTGTGTTCGCGCGTGCGTTGCAGGCGGTTCTCCGAAGCAGCAGCCGCTCCGCAGATTCATGTCGTTGCATTGGGAACCAGCGCATTCGTCGGACATGGTCCGCCGAATCAGCTGCTGGGCTGTGCCCTGCGTGCAGTGGGCCAGGCGCCCAGCCCAGCCCAGCAGCCGGCTCACGTCTTCAAATGATCCTGCGGAAGGACGCCCCGAGACATTCTTCTCCTCCTCCTCCTCCTCCTCCTCCTCCTCCTCCTCCTCCTCCTCTTCCTCGTCCCTTTCCTCCCCCTCATCCTCCGCCCCCTGCTACTTCTTCTCCTGCTCTCCCCCCCCGCGTCCTCCCCCCCCTCCCAACTCGTCCCCCCTTCCCCTCCTTTACCTCCCCCTCCCTCTCCGCCTCCTCCTGCCAGTGTTGACCCGAGCATGGGCTATAGCTGGCCGCGGCGGCGGCTCTCTGGCCGCGGCGAGCTGTCCGCCCGTGGGCATGCCCCGCCTGCGTTTCTGCGCGCGCGGGCGGCTGCGGCCGCGCCCGCTCTCGGCATCGTGCGGAACATGTTGAGTCGAAACTTCCGCTGTACCCATCGGTCGGAAGAAGTACAGTGCGGGCGCGGCCGCAAGAAACCCTCGCAAGAAGCCCAACCCTGAAAACCCGCGCGCGACGTGCACCTGAAGGGAAACCTGGAGCACAATGGACGCAGCAGCTACTTTGACGGCCGCGGGAAGTCACCACGCAGCGCGAGGACTGAAGAAACCAAAGGTACCCTGACGAAAAGCAGATGGTTTCTTGATGCGCGCCCCCACTGTATGTAAAAACACGAAGTAGGAATGAGATTGAGCTCGGGCCCTCCTGAAGAATAACAAACAACGGCAATACCATATCGAGTCTTGAAGTAGCAGGGCGCTTGAAGTAGATTTGGGTTCTGGGACTCCCACAATACCTGCTTTCAACGACCGATGGCTACTCGTTGTCCCATGGCGGTACCCTTCATTCGGACTCACTGTTGGCTCCCAGACCACCTGCCCTGGCCACGGCAGCCGGTGTGGCACGAGAGGCGTGGCCGCAAGGAAACGCACGTGCCCCTCTCAGTCCGCAAACGTGCGGGAGCTGAGCTTCGAGCTGAGCTTCGAGCGCAAACGTGTATGCCATCTCTGCAAGCGGCTGTCCTGCGAGCGTAGCGCAGACCACGTGGAATATGGCTGGCTTGAAACAGCAGCGGGCCAGCAAAGACGGAGAAGAAAGGAATGGCTAGTATGAAACCCAAGCGTGCGTCTGCCAGCCTGGCTGGACGACGCCCGTACAAAAGAAAGCCATCGCGAGCACAAGCGATGGTTAGAGGAGAGAGGGAGGGAGGGACGACGAGAAGGAGTGGGCAACTCGGACGTCAACATTGATTGTCACGCATGCCAGAGACTGACATTCAGCCCAAGAAAGCAAGCCTGAGAACTCGTCTGCGAGAAGAGGCGCTGATGCCCAGAGCGAGGGCGGTCCCAGAAAGAGCGTGAATGACATGAGCACCCAGCGGAAAGTCATTCAGTAGGCACGAACGACGGGAGAGCTTGCCACAAGAAATCCAAGGGAACATCATCGTCGACTCTGAGCTTCGCAAGCTGCCCAAGGGATCTGCGGTCCCATCGGGAGAAACCCTACTGTAGGCTGGGGCAGAGGCGGCGGCAACGGCAAGGAGAGAGAAGAGGAAGGAGGGGAACCGTCGAGACAAGCACGCATCAAAGGCCTAACCACTATCGGCCAAGACCTCTACGAAGGGGGGAGGCAAAGCAAACTGCCCCCAGAGTTGGGATGGGAGAAGGGTGTTATCTGCATTATGCGATGAGAGCACGACGAGGCACGTTCGCGTTGCTATCGCGAGTCCTAGGGAAGGAAGAGGAACAGAAAGGACAACAACGCCTCGGGAATGAAAGGCATCTCCACCAGGTTGTTCGGGGCATCCGGGCGTGACGCACCCAAGGAGATGGGCTGCCAGGAACCACTCTTTGCAGCGCCGATTCTTGGTGCAAAGGGTCAGCCTGCAGAGCTGCCGCTGGTGATGTGCACCTGCCGCCCATCCTCTGAGCCACAAGGGCGATCGACAACACGATGAGAAGTACGGGCCTGCCCACCCACCCCGCCGAACCTCCCTGCGGCTTGGTGCGAGCCGCCAGGCGCTCTCGCCCGAAGAGCGAGAACGCCTCCCGCGGGCCAAAGCACAGAACGCTCGAGCCCCACTCCCCGGGCATGCAACGTTCGGACGTGGGAGAGATCCCCTTGAGCGTTGCACTGGGGACAGCGATGAGGGGATGTGCATAGGGGTGGAAGCATCGACCTCGATTGATTGATACATCGACGACTGCATCGACGATACATTGGTGATATCAGGGCAGTGTGTCGAAGACGCGTAGACGATGCATGGAGCGGTCTGGATCGACAATGCATCGACGATGCATGCGCGATGTATCGGCCATTCGAGGTCGCTGCATCCCCCCTGTGCCTATCTCCCCCTATCATTGCCCCTCCTTGCAGGCAACCACGGTGCTACCATAGGGGGATGCCGAGAACGGAACGCAGGGGGGCCACGACCAAGTGCCACGATCTAGATCTGAGGACCGTCCCGGAAAGCAGAGCCCCTCACACACCCAGAAACTTGCTCTCGTTTCGGCGTCTTGGCTGCACTTCCTCTGCGGCAAGTACGGTCGGGAATTGTGGCATGGCGTGCCGGTGCGGCGGCCCCGGCGACACGCTGTGCCCTGCGAGCGAATGACGCTCCGCTCCGCGGGGCGGGAGGCTCGGAAAGGCTCGGAACGTTAAAGACTGGAAGATGGATAGCGTGACGCGCCGAAGCGTGGTGGGCCAATTCCAGCGCTATCCGAAAATTCCTGACCGAGAACGATGAATCCGTGCACACAAGCTGTGCTTAGCCGAACGGTCGGACTGGTCTTCCACGTGATCCCCCTCCTGCTCCCCTCCTCTTCCCCTTCCCATTCTCATCCTCCTTGCTCTTGGCACGTCCGAAGTGGGCACGGGCACGAATTACTGCGATGCCCAACGATTGGCAAATGTGGCCCAAAACTGGTAGCGGCCGCTGTTGGGCAGGCGACCTTTCGTCTCAAATGGACAACGTCGGCGGAGACACCGACAGCGAGCCCTATTCAAAATGGACAAGAACCCCAAACATGCGACGTCCTCATTTTTTCTGTACGCGGTCCCCGGTAGTCCCGTCCCTTTCCCTGTGACCAATCTCTCATCCTGTCTGGTTTTTTTGACGGTCCTGGGTCGGGCCGCGCGAAAGGGGGGGATAGCAAAAGGGAGGTTTGAGAATCAGCTCACGTAGCTGGTTTTCCCAGCGCCTTTCAGCGCCGGCGCCCATGTATCGAGGAACGGGCCCGGCGGCGGGGCCGAAACCAGCTGCATGCAGCAGATTTCGTAACCCCCCCTTTCCCTATCCCCCACTTTCGTTCGGCCCGACTGGGGCCCGGTGGGGGCCCCGATAGGCCCAGCTCGACGAACAACCTCCCGTCCTGACCTTTTCGCCACGCGAACCTCCGCCTCTCTCCTCCTCGTTCTCCTCCTCTTCCTCCTCCTCCTTCTCCTCCTCCTCCTCCTCCTCGCTCCTCCTCTCTCCTCCTCTCACCTCCGCTCCCTTCCTCCTCCTCCTCCTTCATCCTCCGCCTCTCCTCTCTCCTCCCTCCTCCTCATCCTCCCTGGTGTGGGACTGCTGCTGGTCTTCGTCGCCACTCTTCCCTTTTCCATTGCGATCGTGCGAGCCCATGTTCTCCTCCTGTCGGCCCAGCCTCCGCCCGGCCGCCGCCCATCCCCAAGGAGGCCTTCCGTCTCAAATGGACAGGCGACCTTTCGCCTCGAGTGGACAGCGTCGGCGGCGACCTGTCGTCTCAAATGGACACCGTCGGCTGCGACACCGACAGCGGGCCCGGTTCAAACTGGACAAGAGCTGCTGCCAGTCTTCGTCTCCACATCTTTCCGTACCCGTTTCTCGGGAGCGGCCAAGAGGGGGGCGTCAAAGAGGGGGGGGTGCAAATCATGACCGGCGGCATGTGCGCGGCCCAGCGGGGGGGCCAGAGACGTAATGAAACAAGAAGAGGCGCCATGAAATCCAGGGAAATATCATGGCCCCCGCCATGATATCCACCCCCTCCCTAGTCATCACCCCCCTCTTTTCCGCCCCCGAAAGAGCTGCTGCCAGTCTTCGTCCCCACATCTTTCCGTACCCGTTTCGATCGTACGGGCCCTCTCTCCTCCTCTCGGCCGGGCCTCTGCCAGGCCGCCGCCCGCCCCCGAGGAGAGGCCTCCGCCCAGGTGCAGCCGCGCGCCCGGCAGTCGGCGGCCGAGATCCCCGAGTGCCCGCACTCGAGCCTCTGCGGAGAGAGCGCGGCCGGCGGGGGGGGCGGCGAGGGGGGCGAACTGGCCCCTCCTCTAGGACGAAGCCAGGACGAGGGTAGCATCGGGTGAGGATGAAACGAGATTCTCTGAGATCCGGCGGCGCTGGAGAATGTCTCGGGCGCCGCACCCTTCTCAGAGCCTTCCAGAACGTTAAAGGAGCGTTCGGGAACGCTCTGGAACGGATGTATCCTCGTCCTAGCCCAATCCGGTCCTTTTTTTCGCATTGCAATACTTCTATATTGCTATACGAGGAGGAGGAGGAGGAAAAAGAAGGAGGAGGAGGAGGAGGAGGAGGAAAAGGAGGAGGAGGAGGAAGGGGATGATGATGATGATGATGATGATGATGAGGATGATGATGATGATGATGAGGAGGAAGGAGGGGGGGAGGAGGGCAGGACCGATGAGGAGGAGGAGGAGGAGGAGAAGGGGAGGAGGAGGAGGAGGAGGAGGAGGAGGACGAGGAGGAGGATAAAGAGGAACAGGAGGATGAGGAGGGGGAGATGGTGATGATGATGATGATGCTGATGCTGACGTGACGATGACGACGAGGAGGAGGAGGAGGAGGAGGACGGGGAGGAGGAGGAGGAGGAGGAGGAGGGAGGGGGAGGCGGAGGAGAGGAGGAGGCAGGAGGAGGAGAGGGAGGAGGAGGAGAGGAGGAGGAGGAGCGAGGAGGGGGAGGAGGATGAGGAGGATGAGGAGGAAGAGGAGGAGGAGGAGGCGGACGAGGAAGAGGAGGAGGAGGAGGAGGAGGAGGAGGAGGAGGAGGAGGAGGTGAGGGTGAGGGTGAGGGCGAGGGTGAAACTGTGGAAAAGGAGGAGGAGGTGGCGGAGGAGGAGGAGGAGGAGGAGGAGGAGGGGGAGGGCACGGAGGAGGAGGAGGAGGAGGAGGAGGAGGAGGAGGAGGAGGAGGACGGGGGGGAAGAGGAGGAGGAAGGGGGGAGTGTCATGAGTGCCGTAAATCCAAGAAGTGAACGGCGAGCGAGGCTCAACCGTCACCCTCGGCCTCCCAGACAGGAGGAAGGGGCCCGCAGGCGCCAGCACCGACGGTCAGGGAAAAGGCGCATACCTCGTCGCTCACCGAGTCGCTGCCCAACCGAAACGGCGTGGTGCGTAGGGGGACAACCGGTTCACCGCGCCACCGCGCAGTCCTTCCCGACCGTCACCCCTGCCGAATCGGATGGCATGCGCAACTGGGTTTGTACCCCAGGGTGAGCGGACACAAGGTCCCAAGGGACTTACGGACCACATGGCCCCGCCTCTCAACCAAATGCACACTCCCCGTGCCTGGTACCCATCTCCGGGTCACGGGCGCAACTAGCGCGCCGCTGCCACGGGCAAAGTGTCACGTGCCTGGTGCAAGATCGACGAAAGCCGGTTTATCTGCACCCAGCCGCCGCATGCAATTGACACTGAAAGTGTGCCCCGAGGAGTGTGTGGCGCTGGCACCATGAGAACAGGTGCCAGGCCCCCACCCTCGGGGCAAGGAGGAAGGGGGGAGGAAAATGAGGAGGAGGAGGAGGAGGCGGATGAGGAGGAGGGGGAGGGGGAGGTGGAGGAGGAAGAGGGGATGATGATGATGATGATGAATGATGATGAGGAGGAGGAGGAGGAGGAGGAGGAGAGGAGGGGGAGGAGGAGGAGGAGGAGGAGGAGGAGGGGCAGGATAAAGAGGAAGGAGGAGACGGAGGAGGAGGAGGCGGAGGAGGAGGGCGAGGGAATGATGATGATGATGCTGATGCTGATGATGATGATGATGATGATGATGATGATGATGATCGGCCGTACTTGGAAAGAGAAGAGACGAGGGCAAGCGGACAAGAAGCGAGAAGAGGGCAAGATGTTCGCTCCTGCTCCCTGACAGTTGCGCTACAACCCTTCTACTCGTATTATAACTTTGAGGTTGCGCTACTCGCTGCGGCCAGTGCCGAGGAGTGTGCGCTCGTAGGCTTCCTGTAGTTGTTGTCATGCAGAGCATTCCGATAAGCAGGAAAAGGCGGGATAGGGGGCAAAGGCGACGGGGAGGACCGGAGTGGGGTGTGCAAGACAGAGTGCACATGGCTAGCTACACCGACGGGGCTGGTCTCGGGAATGGCCTCAGAAACGGGGTCTCATCACCAGCGCACGCGCGTCGAAGCAGTTCGGGTAGAGGTCGGGGCGAGCACCATCATGCAGATGCACAGGGCGCGCCTCGACACCAATGTCCTCAGCATCATGCAGGCCGGGATTTTCACGACAGGGTCGTTCGCCACCAGCGGCAGCGTCATGCGAGTCTCGTTCATCGGCGGGGGGTTGTTCGCCACCTGTGGCAGCGACATGCAGAACGTGATCATCGAGACGAGGACGTACGCCCCCAACGGCAGCGGTATGCGGACCTCCTTCAGCCTGAGGGGGAAGTTCGCCACTGTCGGCAGCATCATGCAGGACGTGGTCTTCGGGATGGCGACGTTCGATACCATCGGCAGCGTGAGGCGGACTACGTTCGGGGTGATGGGGCTCGCCATCAGTGTCAGCGTACTGCGGGACTCGTTCAGCGCAAGGGGGTTGGGCACCTCCAGCGGCAGCAGCATGAGGGACGTGATCCTCTGGTCGGAGTCGTTCGCCACCAGCGGCAGCGTCATGCAAGATGCGGTCTTCGTGTCGGGGTCGTTCGCCGCCAGCGGCAGCGTCTGCGCACGCGTCGAAGCAGCGGTAGAACAGCCTGTTGTCCAACAGGACGGCGCGCCGCATGGCTCGCCACCACTCGCGGAACGTCTTGGACAAGATCGATCGCGCCTTCTTGGCACCAAGGCGGCGCATGGCGACGTAACGGCTCAGCGACCGAGCCACGAGGCATGGCTGCCCAACTCCGCGGTGACCGCCAGCAGTTCGGACAGGTAGACCGCGCGGAACGCCATCAACATCGACAGCAACGGGAGGCTGCGGTGGAGCGCAGCGTGCAGCGGCAGCGGGACGATCTTGAGCACCGTCAGGTTTGGTCGGAACGCCACCCGCAGCGGCGGCAGAGCGGACGTGAGGACCCCAGTCAGCAACGGTAGGTTGTTCAGCATGCCGAGAAACGCCACCTGCAGCGGCAGTGGGATTGGCTTGAGTTCCATCAGGCTTCGTTGGGACGCCGCGTGCAGCGGCTTCATGGCGAATAAGTAGACCACTGTCAGGAAAGTGATCGCGGGCGCCACCAGCAGCGGCAACGGGTCGTACGGAATCTTCGTGAAGAGGATGATGCCACGTGGCAGATGAAAACGAAGGAGAAGATGCCTCCACGCACGGCGGAGATGAGGATGCAGGTGCAGAACCTGTGCCAGCGCCTTTGGCCACTATTTTGCCCATCTCGGACTCAACGTCGGTGTAGACAGGCTCATGGAGCTTGGCAATGAAGTTGGCAATTTGCGGGGTATCACCATCATCACACAGACCCAGCGGATCGAAGGACGGCATGAACATGTACTGCGAGATCATCTGCATCGCGTGCGACAGCGCAAACATCCCGTAGGCCAGGGAGTGTGTGAGACCAACCTCAGGCCGCGGCTCATGACGAGGGAAAAGTACGTCAAGTTGAAGCAGCCGTTTGTCAGCTGCCTGCAGGTGTGGTTCAGCAGCAGGACCAAGAGGAACGACGGGCGCGGGCAGCAGAATCGGCCGCTCGCGGGGCAGCTTGGCGGAGTGGTCCGAGCGTGCGCCCGCCGCCGACCGCTGGGATGGCGCTCCCTCCTCCTCCTCCTCCTCCTCCTCCTCCCCCTCCTCCGCCGCCCCCTCCTCCTCCTGGCACTCCCCCTCCCCGACGCCTCTGCACGACATGTTTGTTGTTGGATTTGTCGGCCGCCAAGGGCCTTCAGCGAGCCCTGGGACCGTCAAAAACGAAACGGCGTGAGAAGCCGGCCCCGGGAGGGGGTACAGACCTCTGGGGATCCACGCTGCGAGCCCAAAAAACAGAAAGCCAGCCCCGGGAGGGGGTGCAGACCTCTGGGGATCCACGTTTTGATCGGGGATCTTCTGACCCGGGTCAATCCAGACCCGGGTCAGCAGGAAACCAAAAACTGCAATGCAGGAAAAAAAAACTGCACCGCAGGTCTTCGCAAACCCGGGTCAGCCAATATGCGCGGCCGCCTCGCGGCCACGAGCGGCTCGCTAACCCGGGTCAGCCAGAGGGGGTCTTCGCAGGATCCTGCAGGATCCCGGTGCCGTGGCTGACCCCCGTTTGCATTGACCCCCGTCTCAAGGCTCCCGATTTGAACCCCAAAAACCAACGTCGTCGGTCTGGGGTCTGGGAGGACGGGTGGCGACCACGGCGGGCTGGTGCCGCGAAGACCCCGGCGTTGATTTCTGAAGCCGCGTGGGTCGTTCCACCCTGAACGATCGGCGGCTCCTCGATCGCCGTAGTTCATAGCATTTTTGCTCGTGTAGCTGAGCAGGTCTTAAGGCAGAGTCCCAATACGCAACCATTGGGGCGGGCAAAAAGACAGAGCATACATTTGTGTCTTGATTCTCATTCGCTCTCTCTGTTGCGCGCTCTCTCTGTTGCGCGCTCTCTCTGTCGCGCGCTCTCTCTCTCGCGCGCTCTCTCGACTTGGTTCTATCCCTCCTCCTCCTCCTCCTCCTCCTCCTCCTCCTCCTCCTCCTCCTCCTCCTCCTCCTCCTCCTCCTCCTCCTCCTCCTCCTCCTCCTCCTCCAAGAATTGGCGTTGATTTCTGAACGATCGGCGGCTCCTCGATCGCCAGATCATCCCATGGTGGCCAGTTCGGGGCCCCTGGCGGCTGGCGGCGTCCGGCCTGCAACGCCCGCGGTAGGGCCGCTGCCGCGCCAGCAGGACACGAACCGATACCGCACTGGAGCGCTCCACGGCAGGGCACGCAGGGCACGCCAAACATGGGGTGCACAAAGACATACTAGTAATAGATGTTCTCCTTGGAGGCGCGCGTCCGACCCAAACATATAGTATACCCATCTTGTAGTATATCGTTTCCCGAGCGGTGTGGCCAGGAAGCGCACGCCGCGACGCATATACTATAAGATTGCTCGGTGCGCGCGTCGCCCCTGGGGGGGCGACGCACATGTAGTATAAGTATGTTTGGGTGTTGCCGAAAACAAACCTGGAACAGAAACATCCTCAACCAGCCCCCTTCTGAGACGAAACCATGACCGCGACGAAATCGGACAGGGACAAATCCCTGCGATCCCGCGGATCTGGAAGATGTATACCGGGTGCAGCGGCCGTTCCAGAGCGCTCGGGAACGCTCTGAGAGCGTTCCAGGCCGCTCTGGAACGATTTATCCCGGTCCTGGCCCTGTCCGACTCTCCCGATGCCCCCGCACGCCGCAGCGGCCTGCTGGGGACGGCGGCGAAACGCACGACGGTCATCACCGCGTCCAGGGCGTCTGCCATGATCGGCCGGAGGTTCTGGCTCCTCCGCTCCGCCATGCTGCCGTACCACGCCTGCCGCTGGTGCAGCGTTCGGTGCTTTATGCTCGAGGGTTAGGTTTCCGACCGTCGGCTTTCGAGGGGAGAGGGGGGGGGGGGGCATTCGTTTATGTTGCTCCCGTCGTTCTTAAGGACCACATCCCAGAACTAATTTTGAGCACCCAGAAAAGTATCGAAACGATGTCGAACGAGTATCGCCTCCCAGGGCTCGACACGTGAAAGTCCTCAAGATTCGGCACTTTCTTGGTGCACAACAGTCTTTTTGGTGATCAAAGCTGAAGTGGGTTGGAACATCATTAGCGTTCGTCCTCCTCAAGTTCCTTGACCCTCAACTTGTCATGCCAGTTTCTGGCCCGAGCGGTTCGGACTAGTTTTCTGCTCGGCCAAATGTTTCTGGTGCCGCCCCCGCCCCTCCACAGCCGCCCAAGGACCCAAGGAGGAATAGCCGAGGCTGGCCGTTGTCGTTCACGATACCGTGCCCCTGGCTCCTGGATCCTCTGCGTTGCAGTGCAGGCAATGTTTGGCGGTTGCTCGGAAACCAGCCAGTGGCAAGTCTTTGCACAAGCCAGGGGCCAGGTGTGAGCCCGGGCCGATGTTGCGCCAGCTTGCTGCTCTTACCGAGCGGCTCGGCTGGCGCCAGCAGTGGAGGGCGAGGCTGCCTGTGCCGCTGCTGCTGCCAATTCGGATGCGGAGGCGGGTGGGAGTCTACTCGTGTGCGACGGGCACCATATTCACAAGGCAGGGTCCTTCCTGTTCTGTGGGCTTTGCGGGGCCCGAGTTGCCCTGGGCTCGCCAAGATCGAGGCGCTCGGTGACCCCTGCCCCACGAAGCCCCCCAACCCTGCCCGCCGGCGAGCCAGGGACTGGTTCTCTGAAAACAGGCACCCAACAACTGGGATCAAACTCGTCCAGTATAATCCGTAATTTTCTTGGCTTTCTGTGAGGGCTGAAAAACGGATACCGCTGGCCCGCGGCAATCTTTCGATGTCTTTTCGGGGGATGTTTTCCAGCCAGCGCTGCAGTTCGAGCCCCTTTTGCGTTCCCAGTCTTGCCCCCAATGGACCCTCCTGCTGCTGGTGCTCATCGGGCTGGGCGTGCTCGGCCCCCGTGCTGGAAGGCCCCGCCAAGCGGCAGCAAAACCAGCGGCCTGACTTGGAGTCGTGGGACACTGAAGGCTGGGCAGTGGTGGGTCCGTTGGCCTGGGGCCCGCCTGCGCTCGGTGCGGACGCCAGAAGAGTTCCACAGGCAATCTATCTTGTGAGGCGTGTGGGCACAAGCTCTCTGACGTCTCTCCGGCCTCGGGCAGGGAACCCGAACATGTTTGGTCACGCTCGGGCAGGATGGAATCAGGCAGGTCCCCCTAGGGCAAAAGCAAGGCATGAGGACACGGCAAAAAGACGAATGATGGCGACGGCACTCCTCCGCTGCCTCTCGCTCCAGTGGCTCAGTTCCTGGTGGCGCCGGGCGACGCGATCTCTGCCATGGAGGTCGAGGAGCTCGAGCAGCTCTGCGCCATGCCGAAGACGGCCAGTGATGCGTAAGCACGGCGCGGCCGAGCACCGACGCACGTTGCATGACAAGCAGAAGAAGGCAACGGATGCTGCGAATGTGGCGCCTTGGACTCAACGGGCCACCTCGGCCCACAAGCAGGTGCATGATCTCGTGCAGAAGCTTGAGAAAGCAGTAGGGCACTTCGAGCGCCTCAAGGAGGGGCTCGAACACCAACGCCTGAGGGCGTCGCAGGTTGCCAAGGACTTGAACGCTCGCGAGAAAACGCACCGCGACCTGGCCATGGAGCTCAGTGCGCAAACGGTGGACTGGAACCCGACTGCCGCTGCGGTGGCTCCGCTCAGTGTCGCTAGTATCCTGGATGGCTCGGTGGACCAGATCCCGCTGGCCTTCGCGGGGTTGTGCTCCGACGACGGCGAGTGCGAAATGGACGAGCATGAAAAGAAAAAGCTCGAGGAGCGGACTTCGCGTCTGCCAGCGGAGCAGTCGGCGGCGGCCCCGCCGATGTTTGGACAAGCTGTTGCGAAGGCTAAGGCCTTCAAAGTGGAGCAGGAAGCCATGGCGGCGAGGCTGGCAGGCAAGCAGCGGCGGCGCGACGGCGGTGCAGCAGAGCCTGCAGCAACTCCAAGGACGCCGCGTCTGCTGCTGCGCCCTCGCAAGCCCAGGGCAGCCGGGGGGCTCGGAGCTCCTCGCAAGTGGCGGACGTCAATCAGCGTGCGGCCCACATCCTTCATGCGCAACGCCCTTAGGCATCCGCCGACTCCAAGGCGTCGGCCTCAAGGGAACAGTCCAAGGAGTTGCGGTCCAGGAGGGGGATCCTTGCGGCGAGCCCTTACTCGAGGCGCCCTGGCTTCCAGGTTGAAGCGGCGCCTCTGGCAAGAGTTCGTCGTCGGCCAATGGCTCGGCTGCCGCGCCCACCGCCCGTTTTAGAGCCCCTCCGCTCTACGGGCGTAGTCGGGAGACCGCGGCGGGAGGCGGCGAGGAGGCGCCAACGACTCAAGATCGTCGGGTTCAGGTTGGTCCAAGGGCCACCGCACCGCTGTCCGCTGATGGTCCGCGAACTGCGAGCCATGCGTGCGCCAGGAGTTCGGCGACGTCGGGCTCGCCCTCGTCCCCGCTGGCGGCTGGTATGGTTTCGAACAAGGCTGGTCAAGATCAGGAGCTTTGTCGCGTTCCGTTGGAGGGAGCAAGGGGCTCGTCTACGAGTGCATGGTCAGGAGGTTGGGGCGACCTCGGATGTGCCTCGGGTGCCGCCCCAAAGCAGGCCTGGCCCTCGCGTCTGTCCCCGGGGGGTAATGTGCAAGGCTCGCCCTCGAGACTCTGAAGTCGCCTGGCGCGCTAGCGAACTCTGGAAGCGTTGCGGTGCTCACGGATGCAAAGCTCGGGTCGGCGCAGTGGGAGGTCCGCTGAAAGGAATGGCCACTGCATTGTGGCTCAGCAGGTCTCCTTCGGGCCGAAGATCAGAGTGAGGCTGGTCGTTGTGTATCTGGTCACTAGTGAAGGCCTCGGGGTGCTCAACTAAGCATTGCTGGGCGACCTAGCAGACGTCGCGATGTCTTCCCAGCTGACATTGCTTCGCTCGTGACGGTGTTGAACACGCCGCATAGGCCTCGCTCGGCGGCGCATCTGCAGCTGAGGGGCCATGCTCGAGATGTCAAGGCCTGGCAGCGCGTGGTGCCCATGGGCTTCTCGCTGAAAGGAGCACAGCAGGACCCGAGGGAAGCCCTCCTCGACCTCCGCCTAAGGCGCATGCCATCGATTGGTGGTGGGAGGTGGGAGAGGTTCCGCGTGGTCCAGATAATTAGCGCCGCAGCCAAGTGGTTTGAAGCGGCAGAAGATTTTCGGTGCACGGCACATGGCCCGCGAGAGTGCGCACAAGCCTCCAGGCCGCAGCAGGCAGTGCAGATTCGCGCAGATGTCGTACCCAGCGTCGTGGGGCCGCGAGCTCTGCCGCCATCCATCGGCAGAAACCTCGGCTTGGCCTTCGTTTCGGAGGGTACTTTCTCAGCCGTAACTAAGCTTTCGATAACAGTGAGGAGACGCGAGCAGTGCAGGGCTTTCGATAACTCAGCAGTGCAGGGCTTTCGATAACTAAGCTTTTGATAACTCAGCAGTGCAGGGCTCGCGAGCACGAGAGCGCGTCTGCTGGTATTCTTGGCAGAGGTTGACGCCTTCCGTCCTTCCGCTCAGAGCCCCCTCTTGAACTCCAGGAAGGCCTCGGAGGTGCTGGGGGCTGAGTGGGCCTCGGAAGCGGCAGGGCGGTTTTTTCGCCGTTTCCGAAACAGATCTCTTGAAAACGGAAACAGCAAAAAATGGAAACCTGAAACGGCATAACAACAGCTCCGGGATTGGAACCCGAGCCAAAACCGGGAACAACAACTGCGATGGAACTGGCGAACAAACGGCGTCAGAACCGGCAGCAAAAACAACAAAACGGAACGGGTAACAAAAAACGGCCCTGTCGTTTCCAGGGCCCACTGAGGCTGGAGGCTCTTCGGGCCCCTGGGCTCAAGACCCAGGCCCTCGCTGCTTTTGGATGCTCGCCAGGCAGGGCCCTTTTCTAATGCCAGGCCGTCTCGGGAATCGCGGACTGTGTCCAGTAAGGAGGCCACTCTCAAGGGAGGAGGGGCTGGCCCGCAGGCTTAGCGGGGGACCGTCTGGCCCAGCTGGGCCGGCGCTAGGGGGCGACGAGGGCGGCGGCGGCCGCGCGCCTTTGGCGGGACAGCATGCCTTGGAGCGCCTCCCCGTCGAGTGGCAATGAATCTGGCAGGGAGGACTCTCGCGCCACTGCGCCTCGCCCTCGCTCCCAGAGCGCGCCGCCAGACGTCTCCCATCGCAGCAGAGCAGGTGCGGAGCGCCTGCCGGTGCGGGATGGTCTCCACCCCGGGCGCACGGCCCAGCTTCCGCTCGAGTGCTGCCAGCGCTTGGCTGATGGCTTTCGCGGGTGGGAGTCCCAGCCAGGTGCTTCGGCGGATGCTGGCTGCGCTCCTTGAGAGAGCAAACAAAAGGGGGACTCACACCGATCGGCCTCCTGCCACTCTGGGCCCGTATTCCGAGATTCGGCACCTTGAACGCTCTAAGCAGGAGCGCTCTCGCCAGTGCAAGATCTTCTGGGGTCAGGATGGCTCGTCGGCTTGCGACGCGAGCGCGTGGATTCCCGATGCGCTGAGTTCGCGCGCTAGGCCGAAGTGTCTGTGGGCGGCCTAGGCATTCTTGGGCCACTAGAAATCTCATGGAACATCGGCCACCGCGAATTCCTGGAGGCCTCGCGAGCTTGTGGGTTCCCGCTCCGTCCAGCGCGTAGCGCGTTTCGCCTGTGCGGATCGTAGCGCAGAGCGGTGTTTCAAGGCACCGCGGGTGCCCCTGCGTTTGGTAACAGCACGACGATTGCTGGATGCCTGTGCGCAACTTCGGTGGCTCGGGTGATGCTTCTCGGCACGCTGGCCCGAGCGTCGA